ACATATCTAGAAGGGATTTTGAGAGCAAGCACACAAACAGTACCTTTTAAAATAACCTGCAGGGAGGGCACCCGGGCGGCTCAGTCGGTTGAACATTCAGCTTCAACTCAGGTCATGATCTCACGGCTCATGAGTTTGAGCCCCATGTTGGGCTCTGTGCTGACAGCTCAGAGCCTGAAGCCTGCTTCAGATTCTGTGTCTCCTTCTCTTTCTGCCCCTCCCCTGCACGCACTCTGTCTCTGTCTCTCTCTCAAAAATAAATAAACATTAAAAAAAAAAAAAGTAAACCAGCCAGGCCCCAGGCCCCTCAGTGCTACCTTCTTCCACATCTGCTGCTTCACCTCTTACCTCATGCCCCTGTGGCGTGGTTCTGAATCCTTTCCACTGCTTTCAGATCGCCAGACTCCCCCTCTGCCTCTCAGACATGGACCCTTCACAGTCTGTGCTGTCCAGTACAGTGGGTCCAAGCCCCATGTGGATTCTGAGAACCTAAAGTGTGGTTACTTTGACTTGAGATGTGCTGACTTACTATTAAAACAAAAATTAGAGATCTCATTAATTTGTGTATTGATTACATGTTGAGATGTAGTCAATAAATTTTACATAAATTGGGTTAAATAAAGTAGATTATTAAAATTAATTTTATGTGTTTCCTTTTACTTTTCCATTGTGGCTACCAGAAAATTTAAAATTACCTATGTTGGGGCACCTGGGTGGCTCAGTTAAGCATCAGACTTCACCTCGGGTCATGATCTCACAGTTCATGGGTTCAAGCCCTGCATCGGACTCTGTGCTGACTGCTCAGAATCTGGAACCTGTTTCAGATTCTGTGTCTCCCTCTCTGTGCCCCTCCCCTGCTCACACTCTGTCTCTCTCAAAAGTAAACATTAAAAAAAATTATAAAATTATCCTGTGTGGCTGCATTATATTTCTCTTGGACAGTGCTGCTTTAGATGTGTGATGTTCATCTATTCCTTCCTCCCTGCCCTCCTTCTTTTTCTGATCCTATTTCTCTTCCTTGCTCCTGATTCTTAACTTTCCTCTGGTTGCCAGCAGTGCTCAGATGAATAAGAGGTCTCTGACAAGAAGGACAGCCCAGGCTAATAGAAAAGTTTACATTTTAATACTTCCTTCTTTGATTTATGTTAGAGTTGGCGTGTTTCAGTCCGTCCCCTCTAAATTGTAAGATTTTTGAGGGCACAGTCTTGTCACCTTTATATTTACGGGCCTCCTAGAGCAACCTGTGGGGAAGTTGGGGGCTCTGAGTTACAACGAAGTAGAGACATTTACAATACTCCCTCCGTCGTGTCCCTGATTATTACGACTGCTGTGTGTGGTGTGCTGGGTTTGGGGGAGCCTTTTTCTTCTCCCTTTAATTCCCAGGAAAGCTTTTCTCCGGCCATCCTTTCTTTGGATGCATTGATTAAGCACCTACTTCTCTGTGCTTAATGTTACGTTCTAAATGTTAACTGCTCTGATTTTAGTCTAAAACTACATTATTTCAAACCTGCGCATGAACACTGCTGCGCATTGGTTAAGAACACCGATTTCTTCAGCCCTTGGTCACAGTGTTTTGGAGTATGGTGTTTTCTTGATAACTGAGGTGTCAGCCAGAAATCTCTTTTGTTGAGTCTTTTTTTTTTTTTTTTAATGCGTCAGGTATTTAAATGTCTGTTTCCCTTCCTCACACTGACCTTCACACTCCCTAATCCCTGTAGCTCATTTTGAAGGGGCTCAGGTGTTCAAATTTGTTACTTTGAACAGTTTGATCTGGGCCCTTTCCTGGAGCTTGTTTTGATTTGTTTGTTATGGAATCTTATAAAGTTTGTTTTCTTTATTGCCTCTTCGTTCTGAAAGCTGGTCCCTGGGACACAAAAGCAACGCCCATTTAGAAGGGCTGATCAAGAGCTCTTGTTTCCTACTGATGAGGGTTTTCTGCTGCAGTGACTTGGAGGTGGAAGGATCAGCCAGCTTATTTTGCGTCGGCTCCGTCTGCATCCTCCCCAGCTGGCTGGATGGCTGTTCTCTGCGGCCCCTGAAGAATTACTTTGCTGCTTCCTGTGCTCACTGGAGGCCTAAATGGCTGTGGGAGATAATGGAAAGCAGAGAAGGAAGCTAAGGAGAATTAATTGATTTTTTTTCCTGTAAAATTTCTCTCTTCTGGCTTTCTCCCTCTCTTTTTAAAATTATGCAGCTTTGCCAAATCAGATGAATTCATTGTCTTCTTGGCGTTTAGAACAGAGCTTACAAACTCCTTCTGAGAACCTGGGGTTGTCAGAGGAGAGCCTGAGGACCAGATTAAGTTAGCCTCTTGCCCAGGAGGATGGCTTCCAGAAGCCTCTGGATGCTTATTTCCTCTTCCTGATATTCTTCCATTTCTTGTGAACCCAGGCATCACTGAGAGGGTCCTCTTGAACACCTCTTTGCCACAACTCTCCCACTCTACTGTTGCCTGAGCAAAAGGGCTATATTTTTTTCTTGTGTTCTTGGTGTCTTAAAATGACCTTGCCACTGCCCCCCCGCCCCTTTTTTAACCTCTACAGCCTCCTTACTTCCCTGGACCCTGGGACAGCCTCTTTGCAATGCTGAGCCCGATGTATTTAGCTTGTTTCCTTTGACCTTCACAGATAATGTAAAAGAACCTGTGTGCATGTATTTGACTATACTAGGATTGCTGTACTATGGACAGACTTTAAGGCTCCCCCCAACTCTGTCCATCTTGTCCATTACCAGATTCACTTCTCTTGTAATTCTGCCCTTCTCAAGACCGCTCAGCAGCTTCCCTTGTCCTCTGAACAGATTACAGACCCCTCCTGTTGCAGTCAAGACCCTCTGCAAGATGGTTTCATTGCTCACCCCCCCCTTTTTTTTGCGCTAAATTTTCCTTATGCTGCATGATTTCAGAGGTTCTCTAGATGTGGCCTTTATGGGCAGGAATGCCAGCAGCAGGAGTGGCTGTAGATCCCCAGCTTTTCCTCTGAGACCACCTCCCCCAGCACTTTGGACCCGTGAGTGGGTCCTGCCTGCTTTCAGGAGCTGCCCTGGGGGTAGCCCAACATTAATCATGCTGAGGAAATGACTCAATTCGACACAGTGCTAGGAGAGCCAGGGGGTCTGTGGCAGCCTTGTCGCCCTGAACAAAAGAGGGGAAATGTGAAGAGTAAAGTGGTTTACAGAGGCTCCTTTGGAAATCCAGCTGGACAGCGGTTTGAACTAGTTGGCCAGAGTTGCAGGAGGCACCAGAAGGAGTGTGGTGGGTCTGTCCCCTTCCTGTGCAAGACTTTGGGTGAGGTGGGTGGCTTGGGAAGAGTCCGGAGAAAGCGTGTCTCTGGAGGGCCCCAGGGCGCTTACTTGGGCTCATCTACTCGTTTCAGAGAAGCTGTCCAGATCTCTCCTGTGGATCCCTGTGGCACCCACCCTGGCGTTGTCTTCTAATCAGTCCTTACAGATGAGTCTTTTCTCCTCACCTCAGCAATACACAGCTGGAAGGCAGGGAGCCGACATCGCTTTTTCGGCGTGACCCACCCCCAGCCCGGCCGGCAGTGGCTTGCTTGCTAGCCGCTTGTAGATTGACGGGAAGTGGTATTTGATAAGAGGCTCTAAGGGCATCTCTGTGCAAGGGAGCGGTGGACAGTCCTGTGAGTGGGAGAGGGGACAGTCAGGCTCCCGGTCTGTTAGAGGAAGTGGAATAAAAAAACCAACCACATTCTTATTTTCATACCGATGTTCTTGTGATAATCCGGATAGGGGCAGGATATTTGTCAGCAAAAGCAAATGTCCTTTGGAAATTTCTATCTTTCTTGTATTAGGCTTTTGGAAAGTTGAAGTTTGTGGTACCTGGCCATCCTGCCAGCATGTCTTCTCCCACAGCCTAGTCTTCCAAACAGAATTTCCTTCAGTGCCCCCGCTGTGTATCTCCTGTTACGACCAGGCACACCCCACAGTCCATTGCCTGACTTTTAACTCTGCAGCATCTGGCCAGGGTTGGAGGGACAGCTGTGGAATCAGGTCACCCTTCTTCTGAGGCCGCTCAGACCTTCCTGCTCCTCTGACTCACTGCTATCCAACTCATCTACACCAGGGTTCCCACCACACTTAAACTCTTTTTGCCTAACTGACCTTTTTGAAAGGGAGGTGACCTGGACATGCACACTTCTTAAAGGCCCACTCAGCTCCTGGGGTAGAAGCAGTGTCTGCTGGTGGCAAGAGCACAGGTTTTAGAGTCAGGAGACTCCACTCCGCTCCCCGGTCTGCCCTTCACACTGCTTTATGCTTGGCTAAAAGTCATTTAACCTCTGGGGGCAGTGTCCTCATCAGCAAAGGGGAGTAATGATACCTACGTCTTGGAGCTGTCAGAATAAAGAGATAGAAGGTGAAGATGCTTTTAAGTTAACTAGTCTTGTCCGAATGGAAGATGTGGGATTGAGACCAGCACGGGGGGGGGGGGGGGGGGGGGGGGGGTTGCTCCAGTTAGGAGGAGGGCAGCACAGTGGGGAGTTGGGAGGGCCAGGACATCCATCAGAAGTCCCTCTCAGGCCATGAAGGCCCATTTTTAGCACACCATGACGTCCTTTCTGGTGTTGATATCAGAGACAGGGCTAACGTTTCCCCTACACAGGTTGACAGTGTTTTGCCACCTTTCACTCTGATTCGTTGCGTGTTTCAGTAGGTTTTATCAAAACCGTATGAGGTGCTAGCTCTGAGTTCAGACTGTCAGTGTCTGTCACTCCCTCATGGGTGTGGTGCTCCCAAGCCATATGCAGAACAAGAGGGGAAATGTTGCAAGCAGCCAGACTTTCCCTGCGGGCAGTGTGCTTCCCTCTGCCACTGGCAACCTGAATTTCCAGGGTTTGGCCAACAGCCTTTCCAAGGGAATGTCTCTCAGATCCTCCTGCATTTCCTATTGAGGCCTTCAGAACGGCCCTCCTCGGTGGCCCGGCCAGGATCCCGCGGGAAGCCTTACTGCTGTATCACCACACACTCTCTCTCTGTCTTTGCAGTGTGTTCCCTGCCCCCGGAGCCAGAGAATGGTGGCTATATCTGCCACCCCCGGCCCTGCAGAGACCCCCTGAATGCGGGCAGCGTCATTGAGTACCTGTGTGCTGAAGGCTACATGTTGAAGGGTGATTATAAGTACCTGACGTGTAAGAATGGAGAATGGAAACCAGCCATGGAGATTAGCTGCCGTCTTAATGAGGGTCAGTCTGGCAGTTGGGAAAGGGGGGCTGCTGGGGTTCTGCTTCCTTTAAGCTGGTGGGAAGTGGTGCCCACTTCCTCCAGAGCACCTGTGCCTTGGGGCAGTGTAGCTCCTTTGATGCCCTCGGCCTCCCTTCCTTTGAGATTTCGTGTCTTTGTAAAAGACATTTGGGGTTGCTGGTGCGTGTCCCACTGTGTTGCAGCTGAGCCACCGAGGGGCTTGGTAGCTTTATCGAGGCATCTGTTCTGCTGTGTAAAGTCCCTTTGATGCTCAGGATCTCTTGTTTGCCCAGCCAAGTGCTGGTGACCTTTGACCGTGTTCTGCTAACACCTTCTGGAGTGTCTCTTTTATATTATTTTTCTTTGAATGGAAATGGACTGTTTGTTATAGAGCTACAGTCCAGCTGGACAGAAGACCTCTCCCTCTCCTGCCTCCTGTCTTCCATGACGGGAAAATCCAACTGTCCGCAGGAAAGTATGTGCCCTGAAGCCGTCTTCGTGCCTCACACCCAGGCTCCGAGACCATGACACCCCAGAGAGGGATGGGGACCAGCCTGAGGTTTACAACTGAAGTTCAGGGCCTTAGGGCAGGGGATTACAGCTCATTTCTTACCAGTTTTCCAGCCACATGGGGTGGGGAGCATGGGTGGGACCTAGGATGGTGCAAGGCCATGTCCATGTAATGGTTGATATCTACCAACCTGCTACTGAGGATAGGATCACAAGTGGTTTGTAAAGGCCAGGTCTCTAGGGGCATGTGAGAGATGGTCCTCAAAAGTCTCAAGTGAAGAGAATTTAGATTCGAGAGCAGGACAGGGAAATGACCCCTTACCTTATGTGTAAAAGCTGCTCTACGCTTAGACTTCCAGAATGGCCATGCCCACGGCATCATGCAGGGGACAAGATCATCTATGGGGTTCACATGTTATGGGTCTGGGCACAGTACCCTTCTGATGATGGTTTATTTCTGCAGACAAAGACACCCACACGTCACTTGGGGTCCCCACGCTGTCCATAGTTGCTTCCACTGCCAGCTCCGTGGCACTCATTCTCCTCCTCGTGGTGCTGTTTGTGCTGCTGCAGCCGAAGCTGAAGTCGTTCCACCACAGCAGGTGAGCCCTGTGGCTGGGGGCAGTGGGCATCGCCGTGGGGTCTGGCCTTTGACTGCAGAGGGTGCTGGTGGGCCTGGCAGCCTCTTCTGATGTGTGTGCCCAGGGGAAGCGGGGGCCCCTGCCAGGTGTTCAAGCCCTGGATGTGCCTGGCACTGTGCTTACCGTTTCACACATTAGCTTAATCCTCATAGGACCATTGCGGATAAGGAAGCCGAGGCTCAGAGAGGTTAAGTCAAGGTTGTGACTCCTCTAGATGAGGACCACCTGGAGATTTGGACCTGGATTTGTCCATCCCCTAAGCCTTGTCATTTGCCCTACATCAGTGGCCCTCAGAGTGTGGTTCCAGCAGCATCAGCGTCACCTGGGGACTTGTTAGGAATGAGAGTTGTCAGGCTCCGCCCCAGACCAACTGAATGAGAAACTCTGGGGCTGAGGCCCAGGTACGTAGTTTCAGTAGCCCTCCAGGTGATGATGAGGCAGGCTCTGTTTGCGAGCCACTGCTCTGTCTCCCTGGTTCCCAACCTGGCTGCACATAGAGGCATCTGTAGGGAAGTAAACACAAATACTAATCTAGCATTAGTGTTTTATTTTGTTTTGTTTTTTAAATGTTTGTTTATTTTTGGTGGGGGGAGAGAGAGAGAGAGAGAAACGAGTGGAGGAGGGGCAGGGGGGTGAGATTCAGACGATCCAAAATGGGCTTTCTGCTGTCAGCATAGATGTGGGGCTCGAACCGATGAAATGTGAGATCATGACCTGAGCCACAGTCGGACACTTAACCGACTGAACCATCCAGGCCCCCTCTGGCCTAGGTGTTTTTAAAAAGCTTCCCCAGTGGTTCTGATGCGCGGCCTGGATTGGCAACTGCTGGAAGCAGAGGAAGTGGGTTTTTTCCCCCCATCTTTGTCACTTTCTTTTTTCCAGTTGAGTGCCCTACCCACAAGTCACCCCAGACTGCGTAGACAGGGTGGCGGAGGGTGGCAGTGTATGGGGGGACCGGCCCTGAGGGTATCCCTGGGGGAAAACTTCTCTCCGGGGCTGTCCCAGCCCCTGCAGTTGCTTGGGTTGCCCTGGCAGCTCACTCCCCTGAGAACAGTTCGCGTGCTCTCGCAGCCCTTCATCCGTCACTGTCGTCATCCACAGGCACAGAGGAACGAACTGAGTGGTGTCAACTAAAAGGCTTCCTGGTCTGGAATTTACAGACCAGGCTTGGGCTGAGTTTCAGCTTTGTGTGCTTATGTGATTTTTCTTTCTTTCCTTATTGTTTTGTGTGGCGGGGGAGGGCGGTGAGCAGGTAGCAGCTTTTTTTTTTTTTTTTAAGGTTGTGAAACAGTTTGTAGAATAAAGAGGACCTGGAGGGGACCATTTATTTGAAAGAATTGGCTCTTTCCACTTAAAGTCAAGCCGATCTGTCTGTTGTTTCATCTAAATTAGGGAGTATTTTCCCCTTCTAGTTACCTAGTAAGTGTGTTAAAAGTAATCGGGTAATTTTGCCTGACTTGAGTGGAAGAAAAATTTGTGTTTTTATATAAGCCCTGTTTAAATTTTGTGCTGTGTTACACATATTGCTTTTTTTTTTAATTTAAAAAAAAAAGGTTTTGTTTTTTTTTTTTTTTTTTAATGGTTATTTACTTGAGAGAGACAGAGTGTGATCAGGGGAGGGGCAGAGAGAGAGGGAGACAGAATCTGAAGCAGGCTCCAGGCTCTGAGCTATTCGTTGGAACTCACAAACCAGGAGATCATGACCAGAGCCAAAGTCAGATGCTTAATCAACTCAGCTGCCCAGACACCCCTTAATTTTTTTTTAATGTTTATTTATTTTTGAGAGAGAGAGAGCATGAGCAGAGAGAGGGAAACACGACTCTGAAGCAGGCTCCAGGCTCTGAGCTGTCAGCACAGAGTCCACCACAGGGCTCGAACTCACAAACCATGAGATCATGACCTGAGCCAAAGTCAGAAACTTAATCGACTGAGCCACCCAGGCGCCCCCACATATTACATTACTTTTTAAACAACAACAACAAAATGCATTTTGAATAACAGAAGTCAAGCACACGCCAGAATGCACACCGCTTTCTATATCACCTTGCCAGCAGTTTCCCTTCCTTCCAGAAACCTCAAGAGCTTCTGAGTACCACCCTGTCATCCTCACAGTGTCTGAGCCATTTGAATTGGTAGCAAGGATTTTATCTGCAAGTACAGATGAGGAAATTAAGAACTGATAACAGTCAAGCAGTAGTAATGCGGTCCAGTCTTGGAGCTTATGTGTGTTCTGATGTGATTATGCTGTGTTCTGAGGAGGACACAGCATCACAAACGATGCAGTTTTCCAGGCAAAAATTGACTGGAATCTTCATCCCAAGGAAACAATTATGTCCAGACTGTGGGACATCCTACGAGACAACTGGCCTGGATTCTAACAAGAAGTGTCCTTGTCCTGAAGGAAAATCTATCGTGTACTGCTCTAGAGGAAAGGAGATGGAGTAGGACTAAGCACAGTGCGCAGTCCGTGATGGGATCCTCAAAAATAAACAAGATAGCAGCCAAAACAGATATATTTTGGGGTATTTAGGAAAATTTGAATAACAGCGTTACACTATTGTTAAATTTTTAAAGTAAAAATGAAAGGCAGGCAGCGGGGTGCCCGGGTGGCTCAGTCAGTTAGGCGTCCAACTCAGGTTTCAGCTTAGGTCATGATCTCACAGTTCGTGGGTTCGAGCCCCACATCAGGGTCTACTCTGGCAGTATGGGGCCTGCTTAGGATTCTCTCTCTGCCCTTCCCCCCCGCCCCCCTACATGTTGTCTCTCAAAATAATAAGCTTTAAAACAATTAAAATAAAGGGCGAATAAAGTAGTTGAGTCAAAGGAACAGAATTCTTCAGATTTTAACTCCAGTGTCCCAAGACCATAATGCTTCTTTTCCCTCTCCTTTTTTTTTTTTTTTAACAACTGCTGAATGGAAATGTAGTTCACACACCACACAGTGTGCCCACCTAAAGCGTTCAGACACTGTAGTCACAGATATGTGCAGATATGTGTTACCCTCTTACTTCCCTGTCCTCCCTGTGCTGCATGATGGCTTTATTTCTAGGTCTCTAGGTTCCTGGTCTTGGCATCGTGTGAGAGGGCTTGGAGTCTGGGTATGCAGAGGGTAGGAGCCCAGGAACTGGATTCACATGCCAGCTTCCTCCCTCACGTCCTCCCTCACGAGCTGTGTGACTGGGCAGGGTACTTGACTTCTCCAGGCCGCACCTGTGTTCTTGGTGACTCTGCACCTGAAAGGGCGCAGGTGAGGGTTTGGTGGGATAAAGCACTTAGTGCTGTGCCTGGCACATGTAAATACTCAAAAATGGTTGGTGGCATTGGTGGCGTTGTTGGTATTCATCTGTATGTGTATCTTAACTCTTGCTTTGTTCCTCCTCTGGATGCAGGCGCGACCAGGGAGTATCTGGCGACCAGGTTTCCATCATGGTGGATGGAGTCCAGGTTGCGCTGCCCTCCTACGAGGAAGCTGTATACGGCAGTTCCGGTCACTGTGTGCCGCCTGCTGACCCGAGAGTACAGATTGTGCTGTCAGAAGGGTCTGGGCCCAGTGGGAGGACCGGGCCGCGGGAGCAGCAGCTGCAGGACCAGGGAGCCTGTTCCTCTGCAGGCGGAGAGGAGGAGGCCCCGGGCCAGTCTGGACTGTGTGAAGCCTGGGCCTCTCAGGGCTCAGAGACTGTGATGGTGCATCAGGCAACCACCTCTTCCTGGGTGGCCGGCTCAGGGAACAGCCGCGTGGCATACAAAGAAGCCCCAGATTCAGAGAACAGTGACATACAAAGCCTTTTATCCCTCACGTCGGAGGACTACACAGATGGTAGGTGGTCTGCGCTGATTGTGAATTATGAGCCACTCAGGGGCCGTGCTGGGAGTGAGGAGGGCCTGGGAGCCTCTCTAATAATTGGGTATTTGGAGGCAGAGGAAAGTAATACCTGGGGGATTAGCCTACAGAATAAGGTCTTGCCCTCAGCTCCCGGCAGGGCTTTGGACTCTACGTAGAGACTTTTGACTGTTGTCTGTGAATCTTCATAGTTTGGAGTTTCCAAAGCTATTTGTGGCCACAGGGCTGTGCTAAATCAAAGGGAGGACAGCTGGCTGGAGGCGGGAGTAGGGTCTGTTCTCTTGTGACAATTTTTATGTTCCTGAAAGGACAGGAGTGACAGAGAAGTCTGGGGTCATATTGCAGAGAAAACTGGAGCCGGTCCTTGCCGGGCACTTGGCAGTGTCCTTTCCAGCAGGAGTGTGCCAGTCCTGTACCAGTTGCTCTCTTGCACTATCTCAGCTAACCCTCACAGAGATCCTGAGAAGTAGATACTATTACCATCCGTATTTTACAGACCAGGATACTAAGGCCAGAGAAAGTGTCACTTGCCCATTGGTAAGTAGCAGAGTTGGGATTTGAAGCTAGTTGGATCTGGTTCCGAAGCCTGTGTTTATAACCCCACAGTGTCGTGCCACCTCTCAGGTGACCCTGGGTTCTTGGTGGCAAGCCAGCCATAGAAGGAAATTGCCAGCTCCTGACCTGCCTGCCTCTTCTGGGGCCTGGAGAACTGAATATTGGGATTGACTCTGTCGCTTTAAAAAAAATATCTTTGCACGAAATCCCAGTGTGGTTCAGGATGCCGACTAAACCTAGATGTTTCCCATTTGACAGTGAGGTTTCTGCACTTACCAAGCCCCTTTTGAAAACCAGTGAGGAAGCAGTATGTGCCCTCATGGTCCTGGGTGCCATTAATGTCTGAGGTTTAGAGTATCTAAATTGAGGAAGTTGGAAATTCTTGAATGTAGATTGCATTTAGGAGTTTCCTGAATCAACAGCATGCCTTCTTTCCTCTTGGTGGGGTATAGAGTAGGAAGGGGCCATTACCTAATTGACCTGTGTTTGAAGGTGGAAGCCAGTGGCCCCATAGATAACCAGCTATGCATGTATGTGTCTGTACAGTTTTTAAAATTTTCTTTTAATGTTTATTTTTGAGAGACAGACAGAGCATGAGCAGGGGAGGGGCGGCAGAGAGAGACACAGAATCTGAAGCAGGCTCCAGGCTCTGAGCTGTTGGCACAGAACCCAACTCGGGTCTTGAACCCATGAACCACAAGATTATGACCTGAGCTGAAGTCAGACGCTTAACTGACTGAGCCACCCAGGTGCTCTTATATGTCTGTACATATTGACACAGGTCCCAGGTGTACTTCTCAGCCCTTATCTTTGCTCAGGAGCCCTGCTGGTGCCTGCTCTGCTCCCTTTTCCTCACTACCTTGCTTTGTGCCATTTATGGAACAAACATTTTTGAGAACCCACCTCGTGTCTGGTGCCTCTGGGGTGATAGAAAGTAATTTGAAACATGCTGTCTGTCTGCCTGCATGGATTGTCCATCAGTTGGAAAGACCGGGCCTGTATTCAAGAAATAATGGAGCCAAGAGTTGTAGGGTCCGTGTCAGAGTGAGGGGCACAGAAAACAAGACCCATCAGTCGTTACAGACTGCCCGAGCTTTCTGAGGCTGACAGCACCATAGGAAATCAGGACTGTGAGCCATCCGGGTCGCCCGATGGACATAAAAGGAGACCCAAGACCCAGGGAGGGGAAGCGATATCACACAGCTGGTGATTGGCTTTAAGGAGGAGGTGGGACCCAGGCAGGACTTGTAGGGTGAGATTAAGGATAGAAAGAAGCAAGTAGGGGCCCCTGGGTGGCTCAGTCGGTCAAGCATCCAACTTTGGCTCATGTCATGATCTTGCAATTTGTGAGTTCGAGCCTCGCATCAGGCTCTGTGCTGACAGCTCAGAGCCTGGAGCCTGCTTCGGATTCTGAGAGGGGGATTCTTCCCCTCTCTCTGCCCTTCCCACTCTCATGCTCTGTCTCTCTCTGTCTCTCAATAATAAATAAACATTAAAAAAATTTTTTTAATAAAAAAAAAAGAAGCAACTAGACCAGCAGAGTCCAGGCAGACGGGAGGTTCAAGGTAATGGGACCAGAAGGTGTTTCAGTACTAAACATTCAGATTTTATCACACAGGTAGAGGGAGAGATGAACAAGGAAGGCCTAAAGAGGGGGCGAGGGGTGTAGACTCCTATGGAAGGTACGAGTGAGGCGGTTTGTTTCTTCGGACCGGGGCCTGCATGGTTCCCACGCAGGAGGGCCAGATGCGCTGCAGAGGCCCAGCGGGCTAACCACCGTGCTGCTCTTCCTTCTCGTCCTGCAGACATCCCGCTGCTGAAAGAAGCGTGAGCACCGCCACGGGCCTCTCCTCTGCAGCAGTCCTCTCTGCCCCTCCTCCCGCCCCCTGTGGGTGCGAGCACCCCCTACTCCAGCCACCCTGCCCGGATACCTGAGCTGCCACCTGTGTATCTGTGTATCTCTATCTCTGCGGGCCTCCAGGCCCACCTTGCTGGAAACTCAAGGATGCTTCTCGCCGTCTGCCTGCTGGACAGCTGGAGGCGCTGGCGTTTTGCCCAGTCCAGCCTTCCCATCTGTGGCGGGGACATATTTGAATGTGCCGGACTGAACTCTTCCTTTCCCCGAGCCCTCCGGGTCCCCTCCAGCCAGCTCTTTGGCGGCAGACCGCACCAGCCTGCGCGGGCCTGAGAGCCGCTGTGTTTACTTGTGCCTTCCCCCCCGGCCCATCCGACGACTCCCCTGTCGTGCAGGCTTGTTGCTGTCCTACAGGTCTTAGTGGCTGCACCGCTGCCCTCTGCCACACAGAGGGCCAGGCCTGGGTCTGGGTCTGTCCCTTCACCTTCAAGGGCTGGCACCATTGCCTGTAGAAGGAGCAGATCCAAAAGTGGCTCTAATTAGGGCAAGAATGTGGGTCCCCGGGCCTGCCCTCCGTTGACACCGGTGGCACATTTCTTTGGCTGAGGATGCGGAAAGTCATGCCAAAGCTGTCCCAGCACCCAGGTGTCCAGCTCGGAGGTTCCGGCTCCTGGCCCCATTGAGTTTCTGAGAAGCATCGAGAAGATCCTGAGGGAGGGAAAGAAGGTGGCTGATTAATGATTGTCTTCCTAATATGCAAGGCCTCCCTGCCTCCTTCCAGCACTGGCCTTCCTGGCCATGGTTTTTCTGTGTCACTGGAGCGGAAGGGGCAGTGGCCGCTGCCCCCCCCGGGTTTGGTCCTTGGCAGCTGCGCCTTCCTTGCTGTCCACGGGGGCCCAAGGAGAATCACCACTGGGACGGGAGAGTTGCCGAGGTGCCATGGGGGGCCTGTGGCATTTGGGGCACGTTGCCCCGTTCTGGGTTCATGGTGACGGAAGGGAGCCTGAGAGGCACAGACCGAGTCCCCAGGCAGCTTCAGGCAGCTCCAGCCCTGGTCCTGTGGGTCCTCGTCACCACAGTCACGTGCCTTAGTAACTGTGCCCAGGAAGCGTGCTGCTGCTTGCTGCACCGCTGCTTTCCCTGCTTGTGTTTCCCCGCCCCTCTTGCTCGTGCCAGCCCGCCAGTCCCTGGCCCCCCTGCCCCCCTTTCTCGTACCAGCCCGCCAATCCTTGCTCTCCCCTGGCCCCCCCCGCCCCCCTTCCTCGTGCCAGTCTGCCAGTCCCTGCTCTCCCCTGGCCCTCCTGCCCCCCTTGCTCATGCCAGCCTGCCAGCGAGTCCCTGACACCTGGGGGAGGGCCGACACTCCTGTTCACCCCCTTGCTGGTCTGCGGTGGGTGAATGCCTGTGAAGCGGCCTGGCTCTGGGACCCTGGAGTTGGAGCGGGTGGGTGTCGTGCTCCCCAATGCTTCTGTTGGAGGCTCTCGCTCTGCCACGTGTGGATGCTGACCGGGGCTGGGGTGACAGAGCTCAGCCAGGCTACTACCATCCTCAAAAGATGTGGCTTTAAGGAATGCTTGTTTCTGTTTTGTTTATGAAGCACTGGGGCGGGGAGACTGGTAGCCAACCCCACCTGCACCTCTGCTCCTCCCCCAGCTGCTCCATTTGAGGTGGCGAAAACCATAAAGAACCCAGTGTGTTTTCAGTACCTGACCTAACAGGGTAGCTCCAGGCGTGGTTGGCCGCGAAGATGAAGAGGAATGGCCTCAAGCCTCCCGCACCACTTTCACGCGCACTTTACCACCGCCCGCTCCTGGCCTCCTGGCGCCGCTGTAGTCTTCCTTCGCTCAGGGTAAGGGCGGTGCCTTCTGGGTCTGTGGGCACCCCCACGCCGCTCCCCTTCCCCGCCCAGGAGCCCCCATGGGCTATGCACAAAGCCCTAGCTGGCGTGTTTCCATATGGAGCAGGTGGGTGAAGGTTCCGGAACACAGAAGCCTCTGGGGGACATGCAGCAGACCGGGGGGCTTGCCCTTGCCTCCAGAGAGGCCATTTCCAGAGACGTGCCTGTCAGCGGTTGCTGGCACAGGGCCTGTCTGGGACCCTAGTTGCCTCATGACTCATGGGCTCTTCTTTACCCACAGGAATGCCCTGTCTTCCTCCAGAAAAGAGCAGATACGAATGGTAACAGGGACAAATGGCAGGGAGAATCCAAAGTCTCACTGTTGGGCCTGCAGCCTGAATTCTAGTCTAGAATATTTTTAAAAATGGGAGATGTTACCCTTTTTTATGTCATTACTCTGGATCTTTCCCTCCCAAAGAGATAAGCTATTTGGGGTTTATTCAGCCACACAGGTGACCAGCTTAGCCCTTGAACAAAAAAGAAAAAGCCTTTCTCCTAAAGCCTTCTTCCACCTTGCCCGCCCTTAACACCACCCTGGGGATCACAAGCCCAGACTTGCCTACCTGGTAGGAAAGAAAGTGGGTAAATAGGAACCTAGCATGCACACACCCTCGCCACCCCTCTCCCGTCCCCTCTGTCCCTGGCCTTGCTGAGGCCCAACTCCCAGAAGTGTCCGGGGAGGAGCCACGCCCCCCACTGCGGCTGACCTCCATGCTGGCTTCATCTCGCAGGTCTCCTCTCTGAAGCAGTTTCTTAGCCTCAGCCAGGTGCTGCTGTTCCTAGGGCATCTGGGCTTTGTCCCTTTCAAGGGATTAGGGACGGCACAGCTGCCTTGAGGTGGGGCCTGCTAAGAGACCAGGGTGGTGGCAGGAGGCTGCCACAGGTAGCCCAAGCAGGGAGGAAAACCCCACAGCCTGGCTTTCCTGGGCTCACCTCTGGGGGGCGTCTGGCAGACGGCTGTCCGGAAGGGTGGCTAGCACCAAAGGACGAAAAGTGTCTTTCTGCACACATGAGCTGACTCAGTGGTTTTATATCCTGGTGACTTGCTGTCATATGCCCAAGACTTTCAAAGGCCAATATGTGGTGAAAATCACTTAAGGTTTCCATCCCTTTCAATGCCTTAGTTTAGCAGATAGGCTCGCTCTTCTGCCATTTCTGACTTTTGTGCGCCGCGTTCCCATTTCACTGGTATGAACTGTGAGATGGATTGAGTCCCAGCCACTTTGTGAGTTTGTTTGGCTTTACAAGGCACTTCAGTGTGCCTTCTACTAACACTCCATTTGCAAACAGAACTTAGGCTAGTGTCGTCCCCATCCCTCCTCCCCCGCCCCTCCCCCCCCAGCTTTAAAGTTCCGTGGAGAAGCCTGATGGCAAGACCGACAAAGGTAGACTTTTCCTGCTTCTTTAGTGCTGGCACAGGAATTCGCCCGTCCCCTCCCAGTTCTGGCCACATAGCAGTGTCTCCTGCGTTCACAGGGATATCCTCACAGAGAATGGGTATGCTGCAAACTCATCTGCATTCTCGCCTTTCTTTCCTCCTGAAAGAGAATAAAGGGCCCCAGAAAGGAAGCGGCCCCCAGGCCTTACAGCTTAAGTCCACCTGTGCTTGTGAGGACAGTGAGCCTGAGGGACCTGCTGGGGGCCGGTCATCACCGGTGCCCAGGTTGGGGCTGAACAAGATCGTGCGTGGCAGGAGCCTGGACTGAGCGGTCGCATAGCCGGTTCCCTGAGCGGGGAAGGGCAGCAGGCTCAGCTTTGCGGGGAAGCAGCTCCTCTCAGTCACCAGTGGAAACCCTAGGAGACTCTTGCATGAAAACCCCCAGGCTGAACCCTCGGGGTCTGGCAGCGGAGCACTCAGCCCAGCCGGAGGAGAGGGGGACCGCCACACCCTGCCCTGGCTTCTCCCCACACCACTAGGGACCCCTCTGCAGAATGGTACTCCTGTATAATGGTTTCAGACGACACGTGCATCATTGACTCTGTGCAGGATGTCACTCAATTTGGGTTTGCTTTATTTTATTTTATATATATATATTTTTTGGTATCCTGTACATTGCAGTGGGTGTGAAGATAGTATTTTAATATTTGTACAAAGTTTAATTTAATTTTAATTGTTCTATGTATATAACTGCATTTCTAAATAATAATTAAAAAGGTTCTTATGAAGGCAGTTGTGAGAGATGTGATTCTTCCAGCAAGTTTTCAGAGAAACCCCAGGTCCAGAAGAGCGAGTGTGGTAGGCACCCATGAAGGGATGCAGCACCCGCTCGGGGAGGGGGGCGCTGCCTGACAGGAGGCGGCGGGACAGGGAGCCGTGTGCGTTACGGGGAGAGGGCAGAGGCCACAAACCGCAGTGGAAACACATTACTGGTCTCTGCAGGCATTCTCAGTGTGCCAGTCACCGTGCCGCCGGGGACTCCGCAGTGAGCAGTCTGGGGCCCGGGCACCATTGCCGCGTGGGGAGGGCAGCGATTCCAGTGACAGGTCAGGGGAGCCCCCCTGGGGGACAGTCAGGAAGCATCTCTTGGATGGAATGACAAATAAGCTGAGATGGGAAGGACCCGTACAGCCAGGCTAAGGCGCGGGGCGCCGCGACAGCACGAAGCACCTTGAGCGGAGAAAGGAGAAGTGGGGCCCAGGGCGCGAGAGGGCAGCAGAGGCCGGGTCCTGGAGGCCTCCAAGGGAGGAGTGGGGAAGTCTGACTTCGTCGTCAGGGTAGCCGGAGTGCTTTGACAGTGTTAGGTAACAGTGATTTAGTAAGCCCCACTTTTCGGGGGGGATGCCCTCCCCATCTCTTATCACTGCTCAGGGGGCTAAGACGTACCTGAGACCACTTAAGAAGTCGGTCTTGGGAGGAAGGCACCTTGAGCAGCTGGCAACCCCCTTCTCCGAGGTGGAGAAGCGGAAGGCGTGGTCTAGGGAGGCGGGGAGATATGATGGCAATCTCAGGACCAGAGGGCAGAGCACGTGAAGGTCATTGCTGGAGACGTCATGGTAGGAGAGGCCACGGTGTTTGAGCAATTACGAAAGGCGGTAAGGGGTGAGAAGAGGGAAGTACAGGGAGCTGTCGGATAAAAAATCAGGCCACTCTTTCTTTCTTTTCTTTTTTTGATCAGGCCACTCTTAACGTTGTCCTGGGGATAACTATGGTCAGGATGTGTTTGTCTAATACTTGGATGGGAGAATGTTTTAGGAGCATCTGTGCCCAGTCTCCACCTTAGCGGCCCCGGTCCGCACAAACATCACTACCATTAGTTGTAAGGAAGTGAAGGGAAGAGCACTTTGCCAGCTTTTAAGAGTAATGGTGGGGGCGCCTGGGTGGCTCCGTCGGTTAAGTATCTGACTTCAGCTAAGGTCATGATCTCACAGTTCGTGCGTTTGAGCCCTGTGTTGGGCTCTGTGCTGACAGCTAGCTCAGAGCCTGGAGCCTGTTTCAGATTCTGTGTCTCCCTTTCTCTCTGACCCTCTCCTGCTCACGCTGTCTCCCTCTCTCGGAAATAATAAGACATTTAAAAATAAATAAATTAAATAAATAAATAAATAAATAAATAAATAAAAGTAATGGTGATAACAGCTCATGCTTGCTCTCCACGTACCAGGCAGAGTCCTATGCACTCGGTGTGTATAAACTCAGCCACGTTTGGGTCAACAAGGTAGGTGCCATATCAGAGCTCCATGCCACATACAATGAAGCCCAGGAATAAAGAGGTGGATTAACTTGCCCAAGGTGGGGTCAGGATTGAATTCAAACCCAGGCAGTTCTGCTGAAGTGTTCCCCTCCCTGCTCTGGCCCCACTCCATCAGACACTGCCTGCCTCCCGAGGCCCTGACCGCAGTCCTTCTGCCTTTCAGTCTCTGTTCCAACCAGTGAGCTTCAGGCAGAAGAAAAACTAATTTCATGGCATGGGAGGGAAAGGGCACACTTTTCACTAGGATAACAGATGACTTTTCTCCCAGAGAATGGCAAGTGCCCAGCAGCGTGGGGAGAGGCGGCATTTCAGCCACGCAGACCATGATAAGAAGTAGGTTCACGAAGCAGCAGGACTTGCTCCCCCACCAGAAAAAACACACATAAAGAGGAAAGACTGCTTATTCCCTTGATAGATAAGCCGCCTTTGTCGCTGGAAAGCCGGCAGAAGCATGTCCCATCAAGTAAGGAATGCTGGGGAAGGGAGACTTCAACGTGGGGTCAACCACAGAGTTGTTACCTTTCTCTTGAAGACCGGTGAGGGAGGACAAAGGCACAAAAGCCACAAAACCTGCAGAGCTGCTGGGGGAAGGGCTGGCTTTGAAGTGGTTGCCCTCAGGTGGGGAAAGGTGGATGGGAGGAGAGAAAAGGAATTTCCTGCCCTGCTGCTGAACCCCCCACCTCCCCCACTGGAAAGTGGAGAGCCCTGGAACACAGCAAAAGTAGTAACCTCTCAGCGAGCTCTTTCTCAGGTCACTTAAAAGGATTTTAAAATATACCAAAGTAATACATACTCACTTCAGAATATTTAGAAAACTAAAATCTTCCATAATACCGCCTCCTCCTGGTAATGTTCTTTTTTCTATGCCTAAATATAGTTGCCTCTTTTAAAAAGATCACT